AATGTGGTGTCTTGAAAGGAATGTTTGACCAAGTATACACGCTTCGTTCATCATTTTGGTTACTATAAAATCACATTTCAATACTGCATTCTTCACTATTACCGCTACATTATGTAAGATTCCCAACGTTTGCAATGGCGCTCCAGTGACTCCAACTAATTTAAAAGTTCCTTCGGTAACTTGGTTGCTAAGTCCAAGTTTCTCAGCTAACTTTTCTCCAATTAGATTCACACTGGATCCTGTGTCAAGGAGAGCCTTTACTCCCACTGAATTAATGTCAACATTCAGATACACATGGCCTTCACAGAGGTTAATGCCTTCCCTGTCAAGGTCTTCCTCCGAAGGAACCCCACAATCCCCACCCCTCTCGTCAAGAGAGGGACTAACTAGTTTTTTGGAATTGTACTTTCAGTTCTAGCAAACCTTGCAGCATTCTGTCTATTCACTAAATTGTGTGGCGACCACTGATCATTGTACTGTTCATGTCCCAGAGTCTCAGCACTTCTATGAGTAGTTGAGCTAGAGGCCTCTGACTGTCCATTCCCTACATTCTGTGAACCAGGTCTTCTAAAATGATCTTGCTCCTTATTCTGCTGACGTTCAAGAGCTATATTATAAGCCTGTTGAGCTCTATCTTGGAGTGGCATATTTTGCTGTTGGCGGCCCTGAGCGGTATTCTGGAGAGGTCTACCTCTTGGCTCATAAGTGTGATTATACCCTCTCTGTCTATAATCGTCAGGCCTACTAAAGCTCTGTGAGTTGCGGTTAATTGACTGCCTCTTTTGGTACTGACGTCTATTACCATCTGCAGTACGGAACCCACAGTTCCTAGCAAAGTGTCCATTTCGACCACAACTGTAACATTTAAGAGGCCGACTAGAGGAGCTCTCATAGGATACGCCTCGTGAACCCTGAACCGTCTGGCTCGGAATGAATGAGTTAGTTAGTGATGTGCAGTTACTAGCATAATGACCATACTCTTGACACTTAAAGCATTGCACGTTACGGTTGTTTCTAGGTTCACGCCAGTTGTTATGCTGTGGCCTTTCTCCGCCCGTGTACCTGACAGTAAGTGGCGCCTGGAGAAAGTCCTGATCAACCGTTTCTCTGGTATCTAGTTCAGTTTTCATAACCGAGACTTCTACCTTATCATGAGCTTTGATCGCCTGTCTAGCTTGGTATGATGAATCTAGTTTGACTGCTTCAGCCAGTAGCTCCTGAAAAGGCTGATCAGAGAGGTTGATAAGAATCATGCTGAGGTCATCTCTCAAAACTCCTGCCGATAATGCGTCTTTCAAGACTGAGTCCCTTGCAGCAATTTGGTTTTCAGCATAACCAGCTTTACCCAATTCGAGTAACCTCTGACCAAATTGCGCAACCGTCTCATCATGAAACTGTGTGGCTTTTTTGATCTCGAATCTTGCCTTGACTGCTACACTAGGAGTACTAAGTGCTTTAATTACCTCTGCTTTGAAAGTATCCCAATCGTCCTCAGTGGTTAGTTCCTTATCCACTAGTAAATTAAGGGACTTAGCATCGAGGTAGGTTAAGAAAGTGCTAACAGCCTGTTGTCCGTTCATGCTCATTATATATCTAAAGGGCTCATACATGTCAAAGTAAGCTTGAATGGTAGTGGTAGATGAATCGAAGGTATTCGGTCTACGACTTCATGCAACTCCAGCTCTAAAATCAAGCTTCGCAGTTTCTACTGCCGTAGTAGCATGTGTAGTAGCATACGCTCGAATAGCTTGCTTCTGCTCCTCATTCAAAGCATTCAATTGTTCGCCTAAGTCAGCCATAATATTGCTTTCTTGGCTCAAACGGGAATTCTTCAATAAATTCGATACAGAAGTTATCTAGTTGTACTGATACCCTTAATTGTATGAAAAGTTAGTATAACAACTTATCCAATAATTCAGATACGTACGGTACTCCGGTGTTCACGACCAGCTACTCGGGTTCAACTCTCTCTAACTTACTTCGTTATTTCTATAGTTCGAATAAACTAAATACGATCAAAAAATAATCACAAGGAATGCTAAGGTTTGAACTTAATATTAAATTCGAAGAATTAAATAAAAGTGTTATTTCGAAGTTCAACACGGAATGACGTTTAGCAGCTAACCAGGTCAAACAATAATCCTGGTCGCAGCACCAAAATGTAGCACACTTAGTGTACCTAGCTGCTCGAACTTAGTGGTAGGGTAACAAAGTGAAAGACTTTAAATTTTGGGGTTTTGTAGAAAAGTAAAGATGGTAACGTAAATAAAATGGTAAACTCCAGAACTGATCTCTCTCTAAACTAAACATGTGAGTAATAAATTTAAACGTAGAATTCTGTCTCGTCTAAGGTGGGGTGGAATTTTAAGAGTTGACGGATGAATCGTGACAAAAACTATCAACAAGGTGAACTAAAACGGAAGATCATAAATGGGATGGTGTGTCACGTGATTAACTAAGATAGGCCTGATTGGATGGCTAATTAAGTGAGTGAAGATTATTGGATTAAGTGGCATGCTTTCTACTGTGCTTGATGACAACCTATGAAACTAACTGATGAGAAAATGTAACTTATATGAATTCAGGTGCTGCCGTAGTGACTATTAAACTATTTAATTTGAGGTGTGAGTGAAAAATACTAATTTGCGCACAAACAAAATATCAACCATATAAATATTTCTGACCAGTAACTATTTTAGGAATTATGCCCAGATTATAAAGATAACATAAAACCTACACACTGCACAGAGATAGAGAGAGAGAGAGAGAGAGAGAGAGAGAGAGAGAGAGAGAGAGAGAGAGAGAGAGAGAGAGAGAGAGAGAGAGAGAGAGAGAGAGAGAGAGAGAGAGAGAGAGAGAGAGAGAGAGAGAGAGAGAGAGAGAGAGAGAGAGAGAGAGAGAGAGAGAGAGAGAGAGAGAGAGAGAGAGAGAGAGAGAGAGAGAGAGAGAGAGAGAGAGAGCGTTCAGCAAAATTTTATGGACGAAGAAAATTGAAAATTGAAAATAAGACAAGTCCGGAAATGATTTTCAGGGATCAAGAGCTGGCGGTGGGATCGAATGATAAATAAGCTGATCCGACTGGATGATTCAATGAAAGAGATAAGTTAATCAGGTAACCGGAAGTTAACCCAGTGGCAGTAGAGGAATCTACGAATCTTTCCTAGCCGTTAAGTAAATATTTACGGTAAGGTACCTAATGCCTTGACGATAGCCTGCAGACATACTGTGTTGCTAAGATAAACATATTGATATATCTCTGCGGCTATTTCTATCCTCAGGATGCCAGATAATGTGAAAAAAACACTTCAGTTTATATTGGTCGTTCGCTTTTTTATGACAAATAAAAGTGTTAATGCAATGCAAACATTTATATGTGCCATTTATTTATGTGTCCAAAATTGGACGAGAGGGCCGCCAAATTTTTTGTTGGACTAATTTTTGGGAACTAAGAGTAAAATAATAAACTTTCTATTTGTGGTACGAGAGAGCATATAATTATAAACAGATTAATACTATAAAAATGCTTACTGGGCCGCGCTCAGCCTGTCATTCCGCCGAATCTCTATTATTATGAACATAATAGCCTGAGGTCCCCAGGTAAAAAAATGCTTGTTACAGGGCGGCGCTCGGCCTTAGGCCTATCAATTGTCATTCCAATATATATTCAATCTGTTTATGAACAGAGAAGCCCCCAGGTAAAATTCTTGGGGAGATATAATTAAATTTCTCAATCGTGATGTGGTACCCTGATAATGACTTGTAGTTGTAAGTTACTTACTTATACCCTTGTCTATACTGGTGCTATGCGTTTCCAAGAAAGCTTGATTATTTGATTCAATTTTTATTCAATTTCCCGTAAAATAATTCTTCCTGTCCTACCCCTGATATCTCGCAATGTTCAAATGTAATAGCAGATAATTCAGGGGTGCCCGCCTAGAACACCTTACTGGTAGGGGCCTAACTTCGAAAATAAAAGAGATAGAAACGTTCGCTTCGTAAAACTAAGGTTACCTCCCCAGTCCCCGCCCAGGAGGAAAATTGGGGACATTGTATGTTGTAGATTTTGAGTTATCTCAAAATCTCCAGAAAAGTAGTCATTTTGAGCTGATCAAAAGTTTGCACCTTTAACTTTGCGGATTTCTGTCGTCTGATTGGCTCATGAATTGTGTCACGTGCTAGCTGCTTGGACATTGGAATGCGCCACGCGTACAAATCAAGCTTTATGTCGCGCGCGAGCTAAAGCCGTCTGTTTAAGTTAAACCACCTCTAGTACCACCAGGCACCATATCGGGATAAAGCTACTGATCTTGTCACATTTTCACGGGTCTTCTTTCGTTCGAAGATAAGTGACCATGAGAGAACAAAACAAATGATTGCCAAAACCAGGACACACAAGAAGGACAGTTGTTATTCGTGACTTTACGATTTCACAGTTTCCCTCACTTCCTGTACTCCATCTCCAGTTCTTTCCTAAACGACATTTGCAAGTGTCTCCTTGATCAACAACATATCCCAGGGGACACAGGGGACACAGGGGACACTGGGGACACTGGGGACACTGGGGACAGGCAGGACATGTTAAAGCCCCCTGTTGACTAACAGTTCCTCGCGAACAAAATACATGTCTGAATTGAAGGAGGTTATTTTATAAAAGCAGCTAAATAATAATCATAATATTATTTCGCTAGAGTCAGAATACCCCGAGTCCCGACTTAGTAGGTATAGCAACTGCTCGTAACTAAATTACTAATACTATGAACGAGCGCATAGTCACCATGGTAACGCATAGTCACCATGGCAACGGTTTAAACTTTGGATTTAATCACAGTTGGCTGTGTTTGCGCATCGAATAGACCTTGTACGGGTATCCCCTTGTTGTAAGATTATATTTATACTAATAGATGATTATACTTTCAGGATGATTAATACTTAATGTTACCTAACCTCTGTCGTTACTTGGTACTCTCGCGTTACACTTTAATCATCCTCAAAAAAGAGTAATGGATAAGGTGTTAAGACCGGATAAACTTGAACTCGACCTGTCGACATCCGCAAATGGAGGAAATGCGAACAAGTTCGTCCACTGGAAAACGACGATGGAAAATTTTGTTGAGACACTAAAAGATACAGTCACTACAGACGATGCTAAGTACAAAGTCTTGATAAATTTCATCAGCCCCGATATCTTTCTCCACATCTCCGAGCTGACAAAATACTCAGAAGCCCTTGCCCTCTTACAGGCACTGTTTGTCAAAACGAAAAATCCTAACTATGCTCACCACTGTCTGGCCATGAGAACCCAGAAAGAAGAAGAATCCATCGAATTATACTTACTGTCACTAGAAAAACTAGCTAAAGAGTGTGATTTCAAGGAGGTAACTGCCGCATTGCACCAAGAGGAATGTATCAGAACGGCATTCGTATCAGGATTGAGCTCACACCAGATCCGTCAACGGTTACTTGAGGATACAAAATCCTTGTCTGACACTACTAAGGCAGCCACCACACTTGAGCAAGCCCTCAGGGATAGTAAGCACTACAATCACCCGGGCTACTGATGAAGGCCATTTAGCGGCAACCGATTCTGTTGACCAAGAGTCTATCTCTCATGTTGCTGCTGTGTCCAATTCCAGTCACAAAAGTTAACAAAAAAGAAAGATTTGTGATCAAATAAACAAAAGCATAAATTGTATCTTCAAATGGAACATTCGGGGTATTAGACTGAACTGGAAATAAACAGGTTTAAAATTATGCGCCGTGGCATTGATTGCCGATATCAACTAATCAATTGAAGTCTGATATTTCGAATAGACCTTGTACGGGTATCCCCTGTTAACAAAAAAGAAAGATTTGTGATCAAATAAACTTACCTGAGCTATCCGGAAGAGCACCCACTTCCTTCATCATATCATACAAGTTGCCAGCATCCTTCGTAAAATGGTACTGAAATGATTCCTGTAAAAACGTAGTTGCAGTTTCAGGAAAGCAATACTGTTCCGCTAGAGTACCACCGAACACGAACAGAACCAAGATCACGATCTGAAAGAGGACAACAAATTTACTTTACCTTATGATATATTTGTTAGTTTAATTAGAATTTAGTTCCAGGACAATTTAAACAGTGTCAGTAGTATAATAGTTAATTTACATATTCTACATAATCTTAATATTTTTCATTAATTAATTTCATTTCGTTTTCATTCACATCATATTCAATATTCATAACCGATCACTTTAAAAATATTAACAAAGTGGTTTTCCGAATTACAGACAGTTTAATGAGATTGGTAGTAACCGAGCAGTGGAAGGACTTATAACTTCAGATATTGGCACCCAGCCAGACTCTCACCAATATCTGAAGTTATAAGTCCTTCCACTGCTCGGTTACTACCAATGCATTTACTCATTCAGACCTACTATCACTGTAGTTATGAACAGACCAAACTTTATATTATATAGTATATACCGTTATAAAACTTTATGTATAATACCGTTATTATTCCACAATCTTTATAATACAGCAGCTAATATAATGCAAGCTTAGGCGTTATCACAGTGTTCTAATAATATGATTGGTTGTGGTGGTGGCAGACGTTTCTAGTTAGAATGTCTAGGAAATACAATTTGCGCCAAGAAGCCCGAATCCTAGCCAAGAAAAGAGCAATCTTCGCGATTTAATCTGTCTACTGCCAGATATCTTTTAAAGAGACTCTTATAATGCCAGCTAATTGCAGCAGTGGATTACATTACAAAGACATTATGAAGAGACTGTGAGCGTGGTGGATTATAAAGAGACTGGGAGCTGGAAAATGGTATATCTACCTTGAATTAACAGGGTCGATGGAAGACTGCTGATATTATCAATGGTGCAGTTTTCAATTAGTCCGACTTAACATCTCCCCGGGAGACTGAAGACCGTCTCCCTCTCATGTGGTAACCATGGCAATATTCCTAGCATACCTCTCATCACAAACACTTTACCTAGTAGTATTATACTGATCCAGCTGAGAATGTTGCATTGTTTATACAGATCTACATAAAAAACAGGGTACCTCAAATGTTCAACTTCAACAACATCGAGTGTTTATATATTTTCGAAAGTTATATAAAAATCTTTTTATAAATGACCGTAGACTAGATTAAAAGTAACCCGGTTATGATTGGACCCATTTTTGTGTAATTTGATCGCCTTACTGATAATTTCTATTCTGATTCAAAACATCAACTCAGAATCAGTACACTATAACAGCACTATTAGTAGTATTAGTAGTAGTAGTAGTAGTATAGAACAGTACACTATTACAGCACTATTAGTAGTATTAGTAGTAGTAGTAGCACAGTAGTAGTATAGAACAGTAAAAATATAAGCAATAATATTACGTATTGACACCACTGTGATGTTTGAAAACCCTTGGAGAACTCGGGTTGTCCTTAACTGAAAATGTGTGCACCACACACGATGCACTTATTTCATAGTAATAGTTATTTTGATTCTTGATTCGTCCCTTTCAGACTGATTTGGAATCAAATTTAATGCTTTAAAAGGATGTTATTTAAAGCAATGTAAATTTGTATTGATCTCGTTTGACGGTTTGATGCGACAAGGAAAATGATTTTTATCAGGAAAGGAATTACTCAACGTTTCAATGTTACTTATGTTAACTAGTTAAATGTTATTTAAAGCATTTGTATAAATGTGGTGGTGTACCGATCTGTTTATGTACTGAGGTCGTCGTTTTCTGGTTTGCAATTCTAGATTTTAAAAACCCCTAATTAATGGTAATCCGAGACCGGTTCAAACGTTTAGCTACACTGTGCAACTATCCAAACTTATACAATTGAAGTAGCATCTGGAACTATGGTAATCCCATCGAACGAAATGTGGACAAATAGCGTATAAATGACAGCAAAAAGCAATTTTCTGGTTGCTGGGAATTTCGTTGCGCGACCAAATGGTTACACTCGCTGCTGACAATCAGAATTTATTCGAATGTAAAGAGATTGCATTTCGCACTTGTTACATGCATGAGCATGGAAATTAACTTGCTCGCGCGCGGCGCTAGAATCACGCATGTTTATTATTCCTTTATTCGTGAACAACGTGACGACCGTGTAATCTCTTAGATACGTGAGATTAATTAACTGCCACAAACCTACACACGTTGTACAGTCTCTCACAATAATACCTGTCAAACAATGGTGTAAAGTACTGTTATATTGACAGTGATAGAACTAGTCCTCCTACTATTACTATTGCTATTACTGTTACTGTTACTATTACTATTACTATTACTGTTACTATTACTATTACTATTACTATTACTGTTACTATTACTATTACTATTTACTACTATTACTATTTACTACTATTACTATTACTGTTACTATTACTATTACTATTTACTACTATTACTATTACTATTGCTATTGCTATTACTATTACTGTTACTGTTACTATTACTATTACTATTACTATTACTATTACTATTACTATTACTATTACTATTACTATTACTATTACTATTACTATTACTATTACTATTACTATTACTATTACTATTACTATTACTATTACTATTACTATTACTATTACTATTACTATTACTATTACTATTACTATTACTATTACTATTACTATTACTATTACTATTACTATTACTATTACTATTACTATTACTATTACTATTACTATTACTATTACTATTACTATTACTATTACTATTACTATTACTATTACTATTACTATTACTATTACTATTACTATTACTATTACTATTACTATTACTATTACTATTACTATTACTATTACTATTACTATTACTATTACTATTACTATTACTATTACTATTACTATTACTATTACTATTACTATTACTATTACTATTACTATTACTATTACTATTACTATTACTATTACTATTACTATTACTATTACTATTACTATTACTATTACTATTACTATTACTATTACTATTACTATTACTATTACTATTACTATTACTATTACTATTACTATTACTATTACTATTACTATTACTATTACTATTACTATTACTATTACTATTACTATTACTATTACTATTACTATTACTATTACTATTACTATTACTATTACTATTACTATTACTATTACTATTACTATTACTATTACTATTACTATTACTATTACTATTACTATTACTATTACTATTACTATTTACTACTATTACTGTTACTATTACTATTTACTACTATTACTATTACTATTTACTACTATTACTATTACTGTTACTATTACTATTACTATTTACTACTATTACTATTACTGTTACTATTACTATTACTATTTACTACCATTACTATTTACTACTATTATTGTTATTATATTGATCCTAATTACTTCTTTGTCGTATAGTACACAAAATCATTTCTTTGTCTCTGCTCTGCCACTACTTGTATTAAACTACGTTGGAATAAACTTATAAGTCAGATCTGTGCCACATGATATCCTTCCACGCAGTCTCCAATCTCTATATTACAGTATTACATCCCTGACCGTACTGCTTAAGAATAGCTTGTCTTAACTCCTTTCAGTAGGTGCCGTTGACAAATAGTGTTGCTGTGTCGGATGTCTTTTACCACGATAACGCACTGAGATGTCGACGCTTTAATATCTAACAGACAAATAGCCTTGTTGGTGACATTGTGTTGGTCGGTCTCCTCAGTCTTCACCATATTATGCAGTGCTTACATTGTGTTGGTCGGTCTCCTAGGTCTCCACCATATGCAGTGCTGACCTTGTGTTGGTCGGTCTCCTCGGTCTCCACCATATGCAGTGCTGACATTGTGTTGGTCGGTCTCGTCGGTCTCCACCATATGCAGTGCTGACCTTGTGTTGGTCGGTCTCCTCGGTCTCCGCCAAATGTAGTGCTGACATTGTGTTGGTCGGTCTCGTCGGTCTCCACCATATGCAGTGCTGACATTGAGTTGGTCGGTCTTCTCGGTCTCCGCCAAATGTAGTGCTGACATTGTGTTGGTCGGTCTCCTCGGTCTCCACCATTTGCAGTGCTGACATTGTGTTGGTCGGTCTCCTCAGTCTTCACCATATTATGCAGTGCTTACATTGTGTTGGTCGGTCTCCTAGGTCTCCACCATATGCAGTGCTGACCTTGTGTTGGTCGGTCTCCTCGGTCTCCACCATATGCAGTGCTGACCTTGTGTTGGTCGGTCTCCTCGGTCTCCACCATATGCAGTGCTGACATTGAGTTGGTCGGTCTTCTCGGTCTCCGCCAAATGTAGTGCTGACATTGTGTTGGTCGGTCTCCTCGGTCTCCGCCATATTATGCAGTGCTGACATTGTGTATAATGTCATCCCTGAGAAGTTTGCTATAACAGGGTGAAAAGTAAATTTATTTTAATACGTCAATCCTTCTTATCATAAGTAAAGAAAAATTGTCATTTGATTAATAACTGAACGGGGCACTTGCCATCACGGTATGATTGTTAACTAGTTGTGGATAATAACATAATAACACACAGCTTCTCAAATCACGAGTTTTTAGCTCACTGTCATTATCGC